GTCTCTGCGACAACAGTGAACTCTGCGAACAGCTGTGTTTCAACCTCCACGACGGAACCTTCGAGTGTGACTGTCAACAAGGCTACACCCTCGAGCCCGACGGATACAGCTGCACCAGTGAGTGATAAAAAAGGGGTGAATGTTTGTTAGAATAAGGGGGGGGTGGAGGAGGAGGGGAGATAAAATGCGTGAGGGTAAGGGAGATGGTGTAGGGGATAAGGAAAATGTGTGGTGGAAACGTGCGTGGATAAGGAAGATGTGTAGTGATAAGGGAAGTGTATAAGAATTAGGAAAATGTGTAGTGATAAGGAAAGTACACGAGGATAAGGAGAGAAACGTATAAGAATAAAAACAGAAATGTGTAGTGACAAGCGGGAAGTTTATGAGGATTAGGAAGATAAGGAAAACATGGGAAGATAAATAGAATTATAAAAGATAAGGAATATGTAAGGGAAATATGAGAATAAGGGAAATATATGAAGATATGGGATTTGTATGAGGATATGGAAAAAGAAATGGGGAAACGCGGAGATGTGTAAACTCGTTAAGTGGGAGAGAGAGAGGAAAAAAAGGAAAATCGAATGATAAGGACGAGAGGGTGGAGTGTGCGAGAGGGAAAAATAAAACTGAAATATGGAAGGTACGAAAAGATGTGAGAGAGAGAGGGAGAGGGAGAGAGAAAAAGAGAAAGATAGAAAAAGAGGGAGAAAAAGGAAATTAACAGTAATACTCATTATTAGAGAGAGAGAGAGAGAGAGAGAGAGAGAGAGAGAGAGAGAGAGAGAGAGAGAGAGAGAGAGAGAGAGAGAGAGAGAGAGAGAGAGAGAGAGAGAGAGAAAGGGGGAGGATAAAGTAAGAGAGAGAGAAAGAAAACAAAAAAAGAGAAACAGAAAAAAAAGAAAAATTAAAGAAAAGAGAAAGATGAAGAGAGGAATCGAGACAAAAGAAAAGAGGAAAGAGAAAGAAAAGGAGAAATGAAAGAGCGAAAAGGGGAATGCGAGGAGGCGAGAGAAACGGATAGTCCGAATGCCTGCGCGCTCTCCCCCGTTCCCTTTATGATATTCGTAATTGCTAAAATCTCATTCTCGCTCCCGGTCATCTTGCAAGATAATCCGGGCATGAAAATTGCAGACGTTGCAATTAGAATGACTTTATCGCCTTCCCTCAGAGTCCTATTGATTGAGAGTGACCTTTAGTAGGAGAGCGTAGAATGGCATAAGGAAAATACTGATAAAAGGGGAATAAGGAAAAAAAAAATAAAAACCGTACGATATTAAAGCTAGAGGCAGATGCAGAAGACAACGATAACGAAGGATAATTGGGAAATGGAATGGAAACACGAAGAATAAATCTATTGAAGATGAAAAAAAAGGAGAACGGATCGGGATAATTAACTGAGCAACTTTGGAGTGAAAGAAATATTGTTGCAATGATTCAGATGCAATTTGATTTCATTTGGCAATATATTTGACGGTGGAGCTGCTGGGCACCGCTTTCCTAAGTCGTGTGTGTGTGTGTGTGTGTGTGTGTGTGTGTGTGTGTGTGTGTGTGTGTGTGTGTGTGTGTGTGTGTGTGTGTGTGTGTGTGTGTGTGTGTGTGTATGTTTAAGTGTAAACGAGAAGGTGAGAGAGGAGGAGGCGAAAGAAAGAGAGTGGGAAAGGAAATTGAAATGGGAATGGGAGAGAGGGAGTGGTAGGGGGGTGGATGGATGGAGGGAGGGAAGAAAGAGAGAGAGAGGGAGAGAGAGGGAGAGAGAGAGAGGGAGAAGGAGAAGGAGAGGGAGAGGGAGAGGGATAGAGAAAGAGAGAGGGATAGAAAGAGAGAGAGAGGGATAGAAAGAGAGAGAGAGGGATAGAAAAAGAGAGAGAGCGAGAGAGAGGGAGAGAGCGAGAGAGAGAGACAGAGACAGAGACAGAGCTAGAGATAGAGAGAAAGAGAACGAGAGAGACAGAAATAGATAAAGGAAGTCAGAGAGAACGGGAGACAGAGAGAGAGAAAGAATATAAATCGTCACACAGATATTAACACCTCTGCATCGCCAAGCATTCACACCCACAAGCAAGCTTTGAATATGGACATAATCCTCATGCCAACAGCTGCGGCAACATACACAAACACCTACATAATAGCGCGAAATGGTTTGGTTCGCGGCGTAAATAACCGCGCGGTAACTCGGTCTCGCAACAGCTGTTCGTACACGCGGACAGTTGAACAAGAGGTGTTCAGAAATTCCGCGGTCGCCGGAGTCGTAGCGTAGGCTTCGAAATCCGAATGGTCCCTCTCTCGAGAGACAAATGCTCTCTCGATAGACAAATGCTCTTTCGACAGACAAATGCTCTCTCGATAGACAAATGCTCTCTCGACAGACTAATGCTCTCTCGACAGACAAATGCTCTCTCGACAGATTAATGCTCTCTCGACAGACAAATGCTCTCTCGACAGACAAATACTTTCCATAGCACTCAGGTTGTCTTTATTATGGTGATACCGGACAGATATACACATACGCACACACACACACACACACGCACGGACGCACATACACATGACGCACATAAAACAAATTAATAAAATAAAAATTCTTTGAAGTGTTTTATCTAAACCTGTACAGGATTTATCCCCCCAGGTGCGTCACATACAAACCATACGCCTTAGTAAGAAATAATGGATTTTACAACAACAACAACAACAAAATCACGATGTTCAGGGAAGTGATGTGGTTTCCCTAAGACAATACCGAGAAATCCGTCGAAACAGCTCAGTAGTTCCCAAACTTCACCCCCCCCCCTCCCTCAAGCTCCCTAAAGCTTTACTTCACCAATTTCCTATCTCCCTTTTGTTTTAATTTCCGTCTAGCGCAATAAACTTTATTTAACTTTAAGTTAAACTTTATTTAACATGAAACTTTATTTAAGCGCAGTGACCTTTATATAGCGACTCTTATTTAGTGAACGATGTTAGATCATGCCATAATTAACGAAGATCCCATAACGAGATGAATAGGTTCGTTAGATGAAATGTAGATTAAAATTAAGTAAAGAAAAAAATACAGGTTACAAATATTAGCAAAAAATATAAATTAAGAACAGGTCGCACAACCTTTGAAATGAAATGAAATGAGCAAACAAAAAAGAAAAGGATAATAATAATAGTAATAATAGTATTGATAGTAATAGTAATAATAGTAATAATAATGATAATGATGATAATAATAATAATAATAATATTAATAATAATAATAATAATAATAATAATGATAATGATAATAATAAATAATGATGGTGATAATAATAATAATGATAATAAATAATAATAATGATAATAATTATGATAACAACAACAACAACAACAACAACAACAACAACAACAACAACAACAACAACAACAACAACAACAAGTCACATACCCTCTGAAATCCACCTCCACGTACTCTTAGCTCGTGGACCTCCGGCATAGCTCGAGCCTCCACGAAATGAGAATAAACTTCAACAAACAAATAAAACAAAGAAAGTATGGCTACCGTGTGGATTCCTTTTATTGGCAGTTGTTCCAATATTCGCAAGCAGGTCCCTGGCGCCCATCAGTGTCGAGGGTTTGTCTTTGAAGGCATTATGAAAGCATAGAATCTTGTTTGCTTTTAATGACAGGTCTCTTGGTGTAGGTGTGTTCTGTTTATGTTAATTTGTCAACGTCTTTTCGTGACTTGTTGAGTGTTTAGCCTGGAATAGTTGTGTGTTGATTTTTTTTTTTTTTTAATATGTCTGTTTTTATTTTATTCAGATTTTTTTATCTGAATCAAAATTTCTTTTCTTATTTTCTTGTTGCTGTTGTTGTTGTTGTTGTTGTTGTTGTTCTTCTTCTTCATTTCTTTTTCTTCATTTCTTTTTCTTCTTCATTTCTTTTTCTTCTTCATTTCATTTCTTTTTCTTCTTCATTTCATTTTCTTCTTCTTCTTCATTTCTTCATCTTCTTCTTTGTTCTTTTTTCTTCTTCATTTCTTTTTATTCTTTTTCCTTTTCTTCCTTTCTTCTTCTTTTCCTTCTTTTTCCTTTTCTTCCTTTCTTCTTTTCCTTCTTTTTCCTTTTCTTCCTTTCTTCTTCTTTTCCTTCTTTTTCCTTTTCTACCTTTCTTCTTCTTTTCCTTCTTTTTCCTTTTCTTCCTTTCTTCTTCTTCTTCTTCTTCTTCTTCTTCTTCTTCTTTACTTCATTTCTTCTTCGTCTTTCTTTTTTTTTAATGTGGAGTTCCCTTGTTTGATTTCCATAGTGCGGTTTGGCTCGAGGTTTATGTAATTTGATATGCTCTTTGAACAGAAAAATACCATGATCTACAAAGGAAAAAAAATGTATATCCTTTTTTATTTATTTTGTTTTATTTTATTTTATTTTATTTTATTATTTTATTTATTTATATATTTATTTTGTAAGGGAGAGACGAAGGTGTATCTATGAAAATACAGGAGTTTATCGTGAAGTTTATCGTGAGGTATTTGAAGCATTCTTATAACACGAATTAACGGAGTCTGCAATCTGCAATGATTTTCATGGAGGAAACTTTTTTAAGGAAATTTGTGAGAAATCGGAATAAAAAGTTGGAAAAGTGGAAGGAAGGTAATGGAAAACCGAAAAAATGGGGTAAAAAAAGACTAAGAAGAGAGAGGGAGGGAGGGAGGGAGGGAGGGAGGGAGGGAGGGAGGGAGGGAGGGAGGGAGGGAGAGAGAGAGAGAGAGAGAGAGAGAGAGAGAGAGAGAGAGAGAGAGAGAGAGAGAGAGAGAGAGAGAGAGAGAGAGAGAGAGAGAGGGAGAGAGAGAGAGAGAGAGAGAGAGAGAGAGAGAGGAAAGGAAGAAGTAGGGAAAAATAGAGAAAGGGAGAACAGGAGAGGGATGGACTAGCTAAGAGAAAAGAAGAAATATTTAAAAGTTAAGAGAAAAAGAGAGACGTTGGGTAAATAAGAGAGAAAGGAAATAAACACAGAAAGAGAGAGAAAGGGAGGGGGACGGTGGAGAAATTCAGGGAAAGGAAAGATGGGAAGAGAGAGAGATAGGAGGGAGAGATAGGAGAGAGAGATAGGAGAGAGAGATAGGAGAGAGAGATAGGAGAGAGAGATAGGAGAGAGAGATA